CTTACTATTTAGTACCAGTAAATCTCATTTTTGACGAGCTTTCATTTGGTATAAAATTCATTATATACTCCTGGAATAATATTATGTCCTATGGCGGAGCACGCCCATATATATATATTTTTTTTCTCAAGAATAAAAATAAAATCTATTTGTAGGTTCTTTGGCGTAGTTTATATTTACGTTTTTACGAAAATCAAAGACCTCAACATGAAGCTTGGGATGAATATTTAATTATTAAAGAAAAAGAAATACAACTTCGTTCATATGTCAATAAATTAAGACAGTAAACATATGAAAAAAAATTTTTATTTTTGTTTTTGATATAAATTAAATTATACTTGTTTATTTATTTTTTTTTATAGAGAATTACTTGAACTTGAACGAAAATGTACGGAAAAAAATAGCAATATGATTAAGATAGAAAAAGATACAGTCACAACAACTTAAACTAATTTGAGATTGAATGTCTTCCTTTTCGTTTTTTTTTTTCTTTTCTTGATTTTATTATTATTATTATTATTTTCCTTCCTTCGATATATATAATTACTATTATTATTACTATTGACCAATCAATCATAGTCGACCTTGTTCTAGTGATTTTTTTTGTTTTTTTTTTTGTACATTAGTGTGTTTCATTATTATCGAGAACAAATAAATATACATTTATGTCATATAAAATGAAGTCTGTGTATCTTTATCAAAGAATAATCAAATGTCCTTCTTGACTTTATATATATACTATATTTAATCATAAAATATATACATATGGTTGAATGTTTTTACAAGTATAAAAGAAAAAAAAGAGCATGAACTTGTCCCGCTGTAGGGCGTCCTTCACTAATTTGTGTCCAGCCAGTATACTTGTTCATCGTTTCTTTTCTTTTCTTTTCTTTTCTTTTTGTAATATAAGGATGCCGGTAATTGTACAACTTACTAAAGAATACCATTTCTTTTTCGACTCATATGGTGATTTGTGGTATTTTATATGTACTTTTTATATTGCGGATAGAAATATAAAAAAAAAGACGAAAAATTTCTACCTTTAAGGTTATAATCGAAAAAGAGGGAGGAGAAAGAAGAGGCCTTTTTTTTAATACTCATATTTCTTCTTCGTCTTCTCGATCCGTCTTCATTGTATGAACAACGAGTGTGTGTGTGCACTCACAGATTATTTAAGAGGATTAACTTTGCTATCTAACAATTGAGATGCCAAGTGAACAAGTCGAATGGTTTATGAAACAATCAGTACATGATAGTGATAAAATACATGCTCAACAAAGTTGTACTTATTATTCAATTGTAAATGTCAATAAAACAAACAATCCATATTTGAGTTCATATGAACAAGAACAAACATGGACATTAACACGAACAATATCAAATAATCATAAACGATATCAATCATCAATAGAAAATATTCATTTAACAATGCCTATTTCATCATTAAAAACTAAACATCCTAATTATGAAAATATTAATATAAGAAAAAATCGATCTATTTCACTTTTACCATCACAAAAATATACATCATTATCAGCAGTTCATTCTTCTTCTTCTTCTGCTAATAGAAATTCAATGGTTCATCAAGAACAAAAAATTTTACCAATAACAAACAGTACTTTAAATTCAAAAGTCAATTCAAATTTAAAAAATTCACTTTCATTAACCAAATCTATGCGTACCATTCCTGCTAGTGGTGACTTTGTTGTACGAATCTGAACGATTATTTGCTTTTTTTTTTTTGTATTTAAATTCATCAAAATAGAAAAAACAATTCATTTCTTATTATCGTCAAAGTGAAGTTTGATTGCTTTAGGATTTTATTCTAATTACATTATTTTCTTCTATTCTTTTTCTTTTGCATTGAAACAAAAAATTATTTCTACCTTGCTTGTATTCCTTATATAAACTTCTTTGTTAATATTAATGTATGATTTTAAATATAATTTGAAAATAGATTTGCTTTTCACATTATAATGGCATGATCAAGCGTTAATCAATATCATGTTTTTTGAAATTGTAATATCTATTTCTTATCAATGGCACAAACAAATTCCTTCAAACATTTATTATAGATAAAGACTATATAGAACTACTATCAGTTAAAATTTCATTGATTATTCTTTTAGCTGAAGTTAAGCTATTTAACAAATACAGACCGTTATGAAATTTCAAGAAGTGGATTTTTTGTAGTAGAGCTGAGAGTTATGCACGTTACTTCGAAACGAAGTGACATACGAATAAACTTTCTATATAAAAGTTGTTTAGATTTTAACACACTTACACAATATCAAGTTATTTCTTAACAAATATAACTGCGTCCAATAATAAACTAAAAATAGTGTTCGTTATTGAATTTCGTCGTTTTTTCCGAAAATCATCTTTTGAACCAGACTGAAAGCAAATAATAGCTAATACCAACAAAATATTCATCATCAACAGTGCAAAACGTTTAATGATCTAAAAATACCGTACAATTCAGATACTGATGAAATTCTGTCATACAATATTTCCAGAAAATAGATGCAGATATTAAAATGAAACGGCGCTGAAAATGGATGTGTTCGATGAAGTTTGTTGAATTCTATCTGGAAATGTTGTTTTTACTGCGAAAATTAGTGATATATGCTAGTAAAATACACTCTAAGCGAATTTCGTTATGAAATTTCATCAAAAACAGAGATGATTTTTAAATGTGTTATCTTGATTCGTCGATATGTAACATTTGTACGAAATTTATATGTTGAAAGAGTACTTCGTATCTGTGATCGATCGTTGTTTGACGATGTATTTCACTC